AAAAAAACCCTGAGTGGAGTTTATGATTTTGCATTTATTTGGGACTGAACTGAACACAAGATTATCTATGTTTACATTCAAATTATTATTTGCTGTGAGAATTGTTTTTTTTACTTTACTGTTGTGCAACAATACATTTGAGTTATTGAAGAAACTGGTATTTCTGGGTTTATTTCATTTAATGCTTAGGGTGATGAGCACTGTTATATGCTTGCATCCTTTGTGAGGTTGTGTTTTCAAGGCTAATATTATTAAAGAAAAATCCTACATGTCAGGAGGGAGACCTGACTGGCACCCAAACCTTGATTGAGCCCAGCACTGAACCCCCTGTAGTTCACCTACCAGCCTGGCATCAGGGTGGAGGACGCTGTCATCTACCTGCAGCATCTATGTCTCTCTCACCTAGAGCAAGCAGGAAACACTGTGAGAGTCTAGTTCTTTGACTTCTCCAGTGCTTTCAACACTATCCAGCCTGCTCTGCTGAGAGGGAAGCTGGAGGGAGCCGGAGTGGACAAGCAGCTGACAGCATGGACCATCGACTACCTCACCAACAGACCACAGTATGTGAGGCGACTGTGTGACTCTGATGTGGTAGTCTGCAGCACAGGGGCACCGCAGGGCACGGTCCTCTCACCCTTTCTGTTCAGTCTGTATTCGTCAGACTTCAGGTACATCTCGGACCACTGCCACCTTCAGAAGTTCTTGGATGATACGGCCATCATTGGATGCGTATCAGACGGGAATGATGAGGAATACAGGGGGTCATCAGTGACTTTGTTGGCTGGTGTGAGACCAACGCTCTCCAAATCAATGCCAGCAAGACAAAGGAGATGGTCATAGACCTCAGGAGGAAGCCATGCCTGAAAGCACCGGTGAACATACAGGGAAAAGACATTGAGACAGTGGACTCTTACAAGTACCTGGGCGTTCACCTCAACAACAAGCTGGGCTGGACTACAAACACAGACGTCCTGTAYAAGAAGGGCCAGAGTCGACTCCACCTGCTGAGGAGACTGAGGTCCTTCGGTGTCTGCAGGACTCTGTTAAAAACATTCTACGACACGGTGGTAGCATCTGCCCTTTTCTATGGAGTGGTCTGCTGGGGGGCTGGATGTACCGAAAGGGACAGGATCAGGATGGACAAACTGACTGGCACCACGCCGGCCTCTGCCTCTTCTTCTTTCCTTTTTTTTAATTGCTCCATAGAACAACATGCACCAACAGTACATCTGAGGGTGGGGGTGTGGGTGTCAGGGTCTTTATTCCCATCCCGTTCCCTGACGGCCATTTGGGG